AAAGGACACAATTAAAGAGATGAGGCGAGAGCCAAAACAAACTGTAAATAATATTGCACAAAATACATAAATGCAAATATCCTACCACTATCAATTGGGTAACTATTCTATTGTCATCATTATTTTGCCTCCGTCCACCATGAGGATAAATCGAAAGAAACTAAAATGTTTATTTGCTATTCAACAACTGATTTGATTCCAAAAATTAGATTGAAGTTAATGAAAACCAAACCAGAATTGGGGAGAGGGGGGGGCAGTTTGCAAATGTACACATTAATTTACTCACACCCATCAAAACATTTAGGTTTTTTTTTAAGCCCAAGGGCTTAACTTTGTTTTAATTAATTATTTAATTATATTCATTATACTTTGTTTTTGTATAATGATTTCCCTCCTCAAATAATAGAAAGGAAATTTATCTGCTAGCTTAGTTTATAAATGTCAAACCTCATTGTTCACCATGTAGAAACTACTCTATTTCTTCATAGGACAACACTTTTAATTATTGTCCCAATTCTTTTTTTTTTTTTTTTAACTTTTCAGTCTCCAGCCCTATTCAGCCAGCTGGAAAAATAGGTCTTCTCCCCCGCTCCCATTAAATACAACTATTTTAGATGATATAAGTTTCAAGAAGAAATAAACCTCACTGAAGAAGAAATATAGCTCACTGAATAAATATGCATAACATATTCTGTGCACATCTACTCAGGAACTTACTCATGATTATTCCCATTCCTGAGCAATTAATAAATCACACATTCAGTGAAAGTAGCTTTTGATGCAAAAGTCTCTGCAACTACTAGAGAATCACTGAGGAACAGCTCTTAAGTATCACCAGAAGGGAATGTGTATATAGCAGCATTCATATTGGGTACAACAATCCAGAAATCATAGTTTTGGGAACAGTATGTTCTTAGGTCACAAAACTTTAAGTCTATTTGCAGGCCCCACTTTAAAAATGCAGCACCCTGCACGCAGCCAGTCATATTTCACTTTTGTTGTCAAGACTACTTCATTCTCAAACATGCACTGTTTATTTAGAATCCCTGGCTTGGCAGTTTGTGAGGTTAAAACAGGCTTACTACTGCAGGAACTGGCCACAGATAAGCCTTAAATCAAATTTAGGCTTCATTACTGGAGCTGTGGCTACAGTAGTTCTCAATCCAATACCCCCTAAATTGGGAAGGGGGAAAATGTTTCATTTCTAAATTCAGTCACATTCCAGTTGTTATTTATTCACTGCAAAGCATTTTATCCCATCACTAAGTGTGATGAGTCTCACACTTCTCTGCTTTCCCTAGAATTGTGAAGTCTTTTTTTACAAGTGGCAGAAGTGTCTCAGGACAGAATTTTTAAAATGAATTCTATTCCACAAAACTCTTCCCTGAGAGGCGTCTGACTACCTGACACTTGTATTACTTACTATGCATGGCATTGTCCCATTCTGAAATAGAACATGGGCTCTTGATCCAACTTGCAACGGTTGTGCCATGTTCGTGTTATCTCCACAATCATTTACTGGAATATTTTTTAAAAATAATTTATAGCTTTTCCTGAACTAATAAAAGTCACACATGTATTCTTTTTCTTAACACTTCTCAGATTTCAACGCTACAATAAAAACTTTAAATTTCGTTAAATTGTGTATTGCTGAGATAAAAGGGAGCATTTTAAAAGAGGCGACGCTATTGCAAAGTGCCATGGAATTCTAATCTCACAGGCTGTAGCTCAGATTTTCATTGCAATCTAATTTGCAATCACAGGCAAATTTCTTTGGCCTTGGATAACCACAGCCAAAGTCCAGTCATATCTGCTTCATACTCTAGCGGCAACAGAGATGGGAAGTAATTAAATAATTCTGATTTCCCCCACACAACTCTGTTGATGCCTGCAAGAGCAAAAATGCCATGGACCACTGAGGCTGTTACTTGCAGCTCTGCCAATGTAGATAGAGAAAAAAGAGAAAGTTGCCACAGGCAAGTAGCAAGCGAAATGGGCAGCAATGGGTTTGAGAAAACTTGGAAATTTTGGGCCCACCCTGGACAGAAGCTGCTTCTTTGACCACATAAACTATCAGGCAGTGATTCAGGCAATGCCTGGAGCAAGTTCTGACAAAATTTCAGCCTTACCTGTTATAGGCTTGATGGCTTTCACGCAGAATTGCCCAGTGCAAAAAGTCCATGGTGTCAGAAACAGTTTTTAAATTCACTGAGCAGACAATAAGTTTTTTAAAAAATAAGTAAAAAAGTAGTCCTCGACTTATGATCACAATAGAGCCCAAGATTTCTTTTGCTAAGCGAGACATTTGTTAAGTGACTGTTGCCCCATTTTACAACCTTTCTTGCCACAGTTTTTAAGTGAATCACTGCAGTTGTTAAATTAGTAATTAGTAAATTAGTAATACAGCAAATCTGGCTTCCCCATTGACTTTGCTTGTCAGAAGGTCACAAAAGGGACATTACAACCATCATGAGTCAGTTGCCAAGTGTCCAAATTTTGATCATGTGACCATGGGGAGATTGCAAAAGTATAAGTGTGAAAAATGGTCATAACTCACTTTTTTTCAGGGCTGTTGTAACTTTGAACAGTCATTAAATGAACTGTTGTAAGTCAAGAACTACCTGTATAATCATTCATAGGTGGTACACATAAACTCATTTACTATTTTAGGGATCCAAGGCACCAGAGTTGGAAAGTGTTGACCTATAGTAAAATTGATGTGTTCTTTTTAATATTACCGCATCTCAATCTATGAACAATTTCTGTATTTATGGAGATCTTTGTCTGTTCCCAAATGAACAAATTGAAATGGAGCTGGAACATAAGAGACAGCAAATATATCATACGTTCCTTAACATAATCCAGTTCTGCCTTCTGCTCATGTATACACATACACACAATAAACTTTCACCAATACCCTTTATGTATAGCTATCAACACTCTTAAGTAACCAAAGTGATTTTCTGCCCTATTTTTTCAAATAGAAGTGCTCAGAATGAACTCATTTCTATCCTGAAACTAGAAAACTTTTTTTCATATTTGCATTTTTTTAAAAACATAGTGTAGTCTTCTTTCAAACAAAAGCTGACCTATTTAAGATATGCCAAATTTTATTATCAGAAAACATTTTAAAGACAATATGACATAACAAGCCTAGAAAGACCCATCCCTTTAAAGAGCAAAATCCGTATTTTTAAAGGAACAGGTTATGTTCACAACCTTTCTCACTCCTTACATAGTGAGCCATGCAAAAATCTGCGCAAGCTTTCTTTAACAAAACAACAGAAGGCTTGTACATGGTTATCTCCCATGCTTATTTATTTACATATTTATTTATTTACATTATGATTGCAGGTGAGCCATCTCACGTCTAATTCTTAAAATGCAACTTTTTTTTCCTAGTCAGAAAATTACGGAGGAAATTCATTGAGGAAATTCACCAAGGTTTTCTCTAAAAACTTATCATTAGGACCACATAATACAAGATGTGATTGTGGGAACCAGATCCACCCATGTAAAGGTGAGATGTAAAAACACAAAAAGCTTTCCATGCTTTATACAGGTAGTTCTCGACTTATGGCCACAGTTGAGCCCAAAATTTGTTGCCAAGCGAGACAGTTGTTAAATGAGTTTTTGCTCCATTTTACAACCTTTATCACCACTGTTAAGTGAATCACTGCAGTTAAGTTAGGAATGCAGTTGTTAAGTGAATCAAGCTTCCCCATTGACTTTGCTTGTCCAAGGGTCGCAAAAGCTAATTTTATTTATTTATTATTTAATTAATTAATTAATTTGTCAAGCAATTATAACAGGTATGTTATGAATACATGAAATGGATACATTTAAGAAAAATAAAAAGAAACAATAGGACAGGGATGGTAGGCACGTTGGTGCGCTTATGCATGCCCCCTTCATTCATGAGTCAAGTTGCCAAGTGTCCGAAATTTGATCACATGACAGGGATGCTGCCATGGTTTTTAAGTGTGAAAAATGGTCAGAGGTCTCTTTTTTCTGTGCCCTCATAACTTCAGTCACTAAATGAACTATTGTAAGTCGAGGACTACCTCTATAAGTATGTGAAGCCTCACTTCCACATATTCTTATAAAAATAATAATAACAAATAAGCCAAATCCAGTCTACCACCCCCCTGACTGGACTGGGCGATAAAACTTAAAAAAAAAAAAGTCAGGAAAGATGGGTGTTGAGAGGAAAAGCCCCGGGGCCACCCCAGAGCGCGATTCCCAAGGAAGCCGGAGCTGCCCCTCGGGGGGTCAGCCCGGAGGCCGGTGTTTCCTCGACGCCGGCTTCCATCCAAGAGAGGTAAAAGGGGCGAGCAGGTGGAGAGCGCTCCGCGCGCCTTCCGCCTCCCGACGCTGGGCGGCCCAAAGGGAATCCCCGTCCTGACGCGCGAGGCGTCGCCGCTGGCGACAATCCCTAGAACTGAGATTACACACCGAGTTTGCTAGCCCAGCCGGAATGCGACCGGGTTGTGGGGCGGAGGGGAGAGATGGGAGCGAAGCTGGGCAGGTCTCCTCGCACGTCTTCCTCCAGGAGAGAGAGAAAGCGCGGGGGGGCGCTAGGACCGGAGGAAACCCACTCAGGCGCGCACCGACTGACCGACCTCCTCCTCCTCCTCCACCGCCGCCGCCGCCGCCGCCTCTTCCGAGCCACCAAGGAAGTCGGCTGCTGCGGTCATGATCGCCGAGCGCTCCCGGCAGGGATGCGGACCGGGGATCCCGCCCCCCCCCTTTGCAAGCCTCCCCAGGAACTCCTGTAACCCCACATCACCCCCGGTTCTCTCTTCCCCCCTGGGGGGAGGGGTTACAAGGCAGGCCCGCCCGCCCGCTCCCCGTCCAAGCGCGCTGCTGCTGCTGCTGCTGGCCAAGCTGCCACAAACCTGCCCTTTTTTTTTACCTTATTTGCAAGGGAGAGAAAAGCAAAAGTGGGTGCCTGGGGAAGGAAGGCAAACGTACCCCGCTCTCCAACCCCAATTACTTACATCATCGAACAAGGATCCGACGTTGGCCGTAACTAACAAGATCCCGGGGTTTGCGACAACTCCTTTCATCGCCATGATATTGGCCAAAAATAGTTCTGTGTGTGTGTGTGTTGTGTATATTTTTCAAAGAGCCGATTGCGACGCCTGGAAAAAAACTGCAATCAGGATAATAATAATAAAAAATAATCTCTCGGCCAGGAAGGCTCCGGGGCCAAAGGAGAAGCGCAATCGGGAGTTCAAGGGAAGTTCAGCGGCGGGCTCGGGAGTCTTAAGCGGCCGAATGGAGTTTTCCTCTCCCCGCTTTTCCCCTCTTCTCCGGGCGCTTCCCGCTCGCAGCTTTCGCGGTCCGCGGTGCCCCACAGGAGGGAAGTGTCCCACCGGGGAGGCAACGGTGCCAGCATCAGTGCTGAGCCCCCGGGCTCATGGTGGCTTGCCCGCCTCTTCTTCCCCTCTGCACGGCTCTCTTCCCGGGGCAGGATGAGGCGGGTGTGGGGAGGGGGGACTTCGCGCTTAGAGGTTCACCTTCGCAGCCATTAGGTTCCTGTTTGGGAAGTTCCTCCTGCCGCCGCCGCTGCCGCCGCCGCCGCCGCTAGCGGTGGTTCGATCCTGGTGCATGGCAAGGAGGACAAGCGAAGGAAGGGGTGGGGGTTGAGCGAATTCAAGGAAAACTCTCAGCCGCGGGGAAGGGAGGGCGCTCCGTAGAGGCGGCTTCCAGCGTCCTTGGTTGCGGAGCGGAGCGGCCCAAACAACCCCGAGCCGACAACCCCTCCGGCAGTGGGAGAGCCAGCCGCCTCCTCTCCCGCTTCCCCGCATCTGCCTGAAATAACAGAAAGAGGGGCGAACGGCACCGCCACTAGCTCGCTGCACTCCCCTGACGTCACGAGCTTGACACGCTGCGTCTTAAAAGGGCAACGCCGCCCCGCTCGCCGAGGTTGTCCCGCTCGCCGAGGACGGGGGGGGGGGGGGGGGGGAGGGAGGAGGAGGAAGAGGGGAAAGGTTCGCGCTCAGCCCGGCCAGCCTTCCAGCCTGCTTTCTTGGAAAGGAGATGGCCGCAGTGTGCGTTGGAAGGGGTGGGTTGAGGGGATGGTGAGGACGGGGAGGTGGGGCAGAAGCAGTTCGGCCGGCGGAAAAACACAGCTTTTTTGTTTTGGTTTGGTTTTGTTTGGCAAAGGCTGGCTTGGGTCGCGCGCGCGCCTGTGGCGAAATTGCGCAACGGGCGAGGATGTGAAACTGGAAATTTGCGACGGAGTCTGAATCGCGCAACCCAGCTGACAATTAACTGGGAACGACCGGGTGTGCATTCATAGAACGGGCTATATAAGTTAACTTCCGGTCTCCTTGGACAAAGCCAAGAAGGCGTTAAGAGTTGCAAACCTAATCCTACGTAGCTTCTTCTCTGGTAATATCACACTACTAACTAGAGCATACAAAACATTGGCTAGACCAATACTCGAATACAGCTCATCAGTCTGGAACCCACATCACATATCTGATATTAACACAGTTGAGAAAGTCCAGAAATATTTCACAAGAAGAGTTCTCCACTCCTCTACTCCTTGTAGAATACCTTATGCCACCAGACTTGAAATTCTAGACCTAGAAAATCTTGAATTATGCCGTCTTCGGTCTGATCTAAGTATGGTATTTAAAATCATACATTGCAATGTCCTAACCTGTCAATGAATACTTCAGCTTCAACCATAACAGCACAAGAGCACACAATAGATACAAACTCAAGGTAAACAGCACCAAACTTGATTGCAGGAAATACGACTTCAGCAACAGAGTGGTCAATGTCTGGAATACTCTACCTGACTCAGTGGTTTCTTCCCCATATCCCAAAAACTTTAACCTTAGACTTTCTACTATTGACCTCACCCCTTTCCTAAGAGGTCTGTAGGGGGCGTGCATAAGCGCACCAACGTGCCTACGTCCCTCCTAATGTTTCTTTTATTTTTCTTATATGTACCCATTTCATGTATTCATAACCTATTGTAAGCAATTGACAAATCAAAATAAATACATAAAAATAAATACGTTTTCGCCCAGGGTCAGTTTCTTGAATAACCATCGCCTTCAGGCTGCCAGGTTGCTGCTCTGCTGTTAAAGGTCAAGAAATTGCCTCAACGTTTATGCTGTTTCCCTGGAACTGTAGCATCCGCTAACTCTTCATGGTAGAAAAATTGACTTTTCCTGTTGCTGGTGGGTAAATAAGACATCATTGCAACTGTCTTGGGTACAGAGGGGTTGATTGTAGCACTAGCACTTAGACTTATATACCGCTTCAACAGTGCTTTTATAGCCCTCTCTAAGCGGTTTACAGAGTCCGCCTATTGCCCCCAACAATCTGGATCCTCATTTTACCCACCTCAGAAGGATGGAAGGTTGAGTCAATCAGAATCGAACTGCTGGCAGCCGGCAGTCAGCAGAAGTAGCCTGTGGTACTGCATTCTAACTGTGCCAGGAAGGCTGATTTAATATGTGCCTGTACAAAAAACAAACAAACAAAACAAGCTTCCAAACCCTGACCCCAAGGAAAGGTGGATACACAAGGTTTTCACACTTTATGTTGCATACTGACTTGGGCACAGTTGGGTCCAAGTGAACATGGAAATGATGGCTGTGAACTAAAGTCCTACTTTCCATCTTTCCATAGAAGAACAAGAAATTACACCTAAACTTGTGATCCGTTCTGTGAATTTTAGCCAAATACTTTGAACTTTACAACTCTGTTCAACAAAACTCACAGCTACTGATAATTAATAGTTTCAGTGTATTGTTTATTAACCAATGGACCGTATCAATTGATAATTAGTACTCAAACTTAAGGTAAGTTTCAAGTTTCCTAAGAAAATATATACAATCTTTGAGAAAGAAAAACAATAACCAGCAAATAATCCCTTTGACATATGCATAAATTTCAGACTGCATGGAAACTATTCTCCTAAAAGAAATCTGTGTTTAAAATACATATAATATTTCATTAGCATCTGTATTTTTATTGTTCTGTTAAAAAAAAAATACTGAGGTCTATCACCTATGCAAAACTCGGATGCAAATTGAGTACAGTGTACAGAATCTGACTAGCTTCTTATTTGCTTTTGCAGATAAAATTCTGCATCTGATTTATAGATAAAAGATTCTATCACTTCACAAATGATCAGTGGTGCTGCACAAAGTCCTCAATCAGTTCATGTTTTAAATTTGAAGAACAGAAAGCCTAACAACAGATAAACAACTGACATGTGGCCAGTCATAGCAGCAATTTGCTTTCACAAGTATTTACAATGGATAAATCTCTATAATTAGAAACCTGTGTGGATCTATGCAAATCTCATAGACCTCTGCAAACAGTTGGATTGTGTGTGAGTGCTATATTTTGAAACGGCTTGGATTTACAGGGCAGCTCTCTTAACAGTCATGGTGTAGGGTCTCCTACTAGGCAGGGGATTGACTAGATGACTTCCAAGGTCCCTTCCAACTCTGTTAAACTGTAATCTGTAGTCTCAGGCCTTCTGATTCACACTTTGAAGCAGTCTGGTCATTTGAAATTTGCCAGCCATGTCTTAAACTATCCACAAGATGGCATCAATACAGATAAACAGATAAGACTAGTCTTCCTTAGCTTTATAGAAATCTGTCCCAAGGTTCACCTGTGATGGACATATCAGGTTGAATGAATTGTCTTAATCTCCAGAAACCAGAAAGTGCCTGGTTGCACCTTTTAAGAACTACAGCTTTATTGTTATATGGGTAGTCCTTGACTTATGACCACCCAACATTTCTGTGGCTGAATGAGACATTTGTTAAGTGAGTTTTGCCCCATTTTACGACCTTCCTTGCCATAGTTGTTAAGTGAATCACTGCAATTGTTAAGTTAGTCACACGATTGTTTTGTGAATGTGGCTTCCCCATTGATTTTGCTTCTCAGAAGATCTCAAAAGGTGATCGTGTGACCCTGGGATGCTGCAACCATCATAAATATGAGTCAATTGCCAAGCCTGTGAATTTTAATCACATGACCACGGAGATGGTGCAACAGTTGCAAGTGTGAAAAATGGTCACTTTTTTCAGTGCTGTTGTAACTTCAAATGTTTATTAGATGAACTGTTGTAAGCCAAGGACTACCTGTTATAGTGTTTAGGTATAGAGAATGAAGCAGTCCAAATGACCTTGAGATGTTTGTTGAAGGCAAGTTTTTCAGGTATAATTTTGGCCAATGAATTTCACTTTTTGTCAATTTTATTGTTTATGTGGATCTGTTCAGCAGTTAAAGAAACATATAAAGGGTTGCTGTATTTGGGAACTAACAATGCGGGATTTTTAAAACATAGCCTAGGGATATTTTTACAACTAATGTTTCTTCAGCCCATTCCTACTCACTCCCAGACCACATGCACACACAGCAGAGCAATAATTAGAAAATTAATAAGGATTAAAAAAATCTAACCTTATCTAAATGTCATTCAATAAAAGCAAAAATGTTTTAAGAGCTTGGTTTTATATGTAGTATATTTTTGCTGTATCACATAGAACTCTGTTTTAAATTCTGTGCCTGACTGTGCTATTAGCGTAGGTACATTTAGATGATGATGGGAGGTGATTATGATACCATGTTCTTGCCTCAGAAACTGAGGAGGAGTTCATATATTTCTGCTCCTCCTCTTCTACTTTTTTGTTTTACAAAAGAAAATTATTAAAAAAGATAATATCCTTTTTCATATTTCAGTTAGATAGATAGATACTATAGCTGGACAGACAAACACACAAACAGATAAACCAAGGTTAGGCAGACAGATAGAACATGCAAATATTAAAATGATAGGAAAAAAAAAACCAATCTTATATTTCCATAAATTAGAATATTTCAAGGTATTAATCAACTAATTAATATTAAACATCATTTCAAGGTATTAATCAACCAATACAAAATCTCCCATAGGTTATATTACCTATTGAATGTATTCACATCGATGTCACCTTTATTATCCTTATTACTTTAATTATTTAATTAGAAGCTGTTTCATACTGACTAAAGTGTTGATTAGTATCAACAGAAATCTTGAATCCTGTGAAATGATTTATGCTAAGATCTTATTTCATCTTTCTGGTCCACTGAATTTAATAGAGCTTATTCCTCTTGGAAGATATACATAGTAGTAGATATTATTGTAATAAAAGCTTTTCAGTTAAAAAAAAATGGAGCCAACATAAAATTCCAAAAGGCTTCAAACAGTAATTTCTTTTGGAATCAATAATTGTACTCCAAGGAATTTATAGAGTGATTGCTTAAATCAAAATATTCCACATAAATTTTATTTTGTGCTTCTTTTAAATTTGCCTTTCTTATTCCATATTCCATCAGATGGAAAAACATTAGCATCAGTGCCCGTTGATTGGTTCTTCGATCATTCTCTTCTGTTTGACTGTGATTAAAAAGAGCTAAGCCTCACACATGTGCTTCTGTTAAGTTTGCTATAAAATAATCTATTTTTTAAAAAATCAATTTTCCTCAACGTGATGCCCTTCAGAAGCATGAGTATTAAAATATAGAGACAGACAGAGATGGGGATTTATAAATTTAATTAAGGAATGCCTCTCATTTTCCGATAACTCTCTTTGAAAAATAGGATAAAAATATAATGCTTTAATGTTTTAAAACCTGTAGATCAGGGGCGTTAAACTCGTGGCCCATGGGGCGGGATGTCTCACACACTGGCCACCCCCACCCCCTGGTTTAGCGAAGGGGTAAAAAGTCACGATATGTCACATGATGACAATGTGATGCCGTGAGTTTGACACTCCTGCTGTAGATGATCAAGACAAGACTAAGTAAGAAGCACAAGCGTGGTTCCTCTGGTTATGGACAGG